AGCGCGTGGAACTACAGCGCGTGGAACTACGGCGCGTGGAATTATGGCGCGTGGAACTACGACGCGTGGAACTACGGTGCGTGGAATTATAGCGCGTAGAACGATGTCATGCAGGAATATTTAATGCGTGGAACTACGGCGCGTAAAATTAAATAATTCCAAATTACTGTTAGCTCAAGATAAAATAAAAATTACTTACTTAACGACCTTCCGTTGACTAGTCATGCTGCAGTACCTCTGCACAAAATTCTGCTGGCACCCAAAGATCGACAAACTCATAAACAGCTGTCCCAAGGTCGCCGACAGCGTGGTGACACGAACCGTGGGATCCAATTCCATGCTAAAAAGAGATTCCGTCCAGATTAATTCAGGATCGAGAAAAAAGAGAAGAAATGGATGTGTCGCTGATTGATGCTATCCATTCTCCTGAACCGTCTGCGACGTAAGGAGCGTCTCTAAAGAGAATGGCTCTTTATCCATTCAAAAAGTTTCGTCGGAGGAAACGTAGACTCGAGGCAAATCCGTCAGGTACCCTATTCGTTTCCGTGGCCGTAAATCGGGGTTACTTTGTTTCGCCGCCTTTGTTCGCCCGCGCGAAAGGGGAGGAACTGCTGTTTTGAATTGGAACGACGCGATGAATGTCGGGTAATTTTATTGCTGGTCTCAGACTGCTCAGCTATTCATCGTTTACAACGAGCCGGTTGTCCGAAGCCGGCGATAAAACAATGATACGAAATCAACCCCTTTCGATTCTGTCTAGTTCGTCCCAGGGAGATATTCGTCTTTACGGGTCCCTGTCTCTATATTGGGCGAGAAAAAGATGTACGGGATTGCGATGTCGCTTCATTTTGGGGAGGGATTGATTTGTGTAAATGTGCAGGTGGATACTTTAGGATATTTGTGATGAGATGTGGGAGAGATGTGGGAGGTGGGGGATGTAGTTTGGGGGATATAGGAATTGGGGATGTGGAAATTTGGAAGTATATTTGTGAAATTCCTTGGGAATATACGGAGCGTGAGAATATGGCGCGTGCAGATACCTACGCGTGAAAATTCGATGCGTTGTAATACGACGCGTGAGAATACGGTGCGTGGAAATACGGCGCGTGGAAATATGACGCGTGAGAATACGGTGCGTGGAAATACGACGCGTGGAAATATGACGCGTGAGAATACGATGCGTGGAAATACGGTGCGTGAGAATACGGCGCGTGGAGATACCTACGCGTGAAAATTCGGCGCGTTGTAATACGACGCGTGAGAATACGATGCGTGGAAATACGGCGCGTGGAAATATGACGCGTGAGAATACGGTGCGTGAGAATACGGTGCGTGGAAATACGGTGCGTGAAGATGTCTATGCGTGAGAATACGACGCGTGGAGATACCTACGCGTCAGAATACAGTGCGTGGAACTACGACGCGTGGAACTATAGCGCGTGGAATTATGGCGCGTGGTACTACGACGTGCAGAACTGCGGCGCGTGGTAAATACAAAGCGTGGAAATACGACACATGGAAATATGACGCGTGGAATTTCAGCGCGCAGAAATACGGTCCAAGGTAAATACAACGCGTGGAAATACGGTATGTGGTAATTGCGACGCGTGAAACTACGGCGCGTGGAAATACGGCGCGTGAGAATACGGCAGATGGAGACGTAGGGATTTCGAAGCTTGCTAACCCCTTAACCCATGACACACCAGGTGCGTCAATAGATGAAACATGAAATATTGTTTTCAGCCATTTCTACACTTCACTGCAAATATTTCAAGGTTCTCAAAATATATTAACAATAAATATTAACCTTGAATGTATTAATATATTAACCTGTAAATATTAACAATAAAAAAATGAGCAATTATTTATATCATTTCACCTCATCGTTTTTCCTCAATGTTGACCTTGAAATGACATTGGCGATGGACGTAAAAGTCCCCAAATCCATCGACTACTTTTGATCTCATTAATAGCAGTGAAAGTAATTGAAATGTTTGGCTCAAGCACATGTGACTCAAGTACTGCGTCATATATTGTTCTTATGTGGATTTAGTTTGAATATTTATGAACATGTACTCACTCAAAGAAATCTAATCTTCCACGTTCGTACGTCACGTTGAAGACTTGAACCGGACCGATATCAATTGCACCTCGAAGAATTATCACCAGGGAGACGCCGATCATTGTTACACCTTGTATTACGTCTGACAAGATGGCTGCCTGCAGACCTCCCTGGAGACAGAACGAAAATATTACATTTTTAAATGATATTAACATTAATTTGAAGGACCCGCAATTATTTTGTACTGTTTTGTCAGTGCTTTATTGAAAGATTAATTTGTTACATAATATTGTAAAATGTTACGTGAAATAATATACCACGAAATTGGCGTGTAATCAATATCAAATATTTTATATCTCATCAAATCATACTTAATATCGCATCGAAAGTATCATAAATTTGCAATACTATATATTTACCTTATCAATTTTCCAAATACAAATTTTTACATAAATCTTTGAATACAAATACCTATTTTAAAAACGTATCTCTTCTCAGAATATCAAAAATCTAGTGGAGTATATTTAAATTCTGTATTCTCTCTCTATAAAAGATCTGACGATCACAGGTGATTTCCACAACATGAACAATTCAGAAATCGAAATCGCGAAGGAAATGGCCACGCTGTCCTCGATATATGTATAAAAGTTTTACGGACGTACAGTATTTACGATCGTTCCGGCCGGAAATGCACCTCGAAGGGGTAAACTCTTTGGTATCTGAATAATTGACTCGCCATAAATGCGACCGGACATGGCGATTTTAAAATAGTGCATCGGTTCGACAGTATCTTTGAATATTTTTTACTTAACATTATTTGAGTATTAGAATTTTTTGAATATACGAATATTTTGTTAACGAGTTCTTTAATTATCAAATAATTCTTCCGCTCGAAACTCGATGGATTAATGAGAACGTATGAATAATTCATCGAGATGTCTCGGAATCAATGAAAAATGTTTGCGAATGTACAAAAACAAGGGGACAAATAATTGTAGACGCGTTTTCGGGCAAATGTTTAGTTCTTGGTGTCCTCTTGTTGTTGCACTGGGGCAAATGTTTGCCCTGCAAATATTTGTCCGTGAACAATTGTACATAAACGTGGACTAGCTTTTACGTTGCCATTACGGTTTAAGCTTTAACTGCTTTAGAGCTTTAATAGAGCGGTGTACGTTCTGTGTTTGTTTAAACGCTTTTTATAAAGGATTGCACACTGTTTTGGGACGGAGTTGCAGGTAAATTATTTACATTTTATATTTTTTGTGAAGCAAGTTTGACGTCATTCATTTATTATCACGTGTTATCGTGTGTGTATTATTAATATTATCATATGTGATTATCTGTATCATATGTGTATTATCACATGTGTCACCTGTGATCTAAAAATGAGGGTAAAGGAAATTTGAAAGTAGCATTGAAAGTTTGAGTTCAAGGTAAATATACATATGTGTAATTACCTTGAACTCAAACTTTCAATGCTACTCACAATATACATATGTGTAATGTGACATATAACATATGTGTAACATATCATGTAAATATATGACATGTGTTATGTTGACAAACATGTGTATCTTTATGTAGAGTCAAGTTATATATACACTGTTCAAGTAAACTTTACATATGTGTAATGTAACATATAACATATGTGTAACATATGACATAAATATATGACATGTGTTATATCGACAAACATGTGTATTTTTATGTAGAGTCAAGTTGTATACACACTGTTCAAGTGAAATTTACATATGTGTAATATAACATATAACATATGTGTAACATATGACATATGTGTAACATATGACATAAATATATGACATGTGTTATGTCGACAAACATGTGTATTTTTATGTAGACCCAAGTTTTATACGTATTGTTCAAGTGACATATACATATGTGTAATGGTAACGTAACATATGAGTAACATATCACATAACATATGAGTTACATACATGATATGTGTCATATCACTAGATCTCCTAGTAAACCCTCATATAGTCCCACATATCTAAATCTCTACCTCCCAAATTTCTACACCCTATGTTCCACATCCCCACCCACATGTTCCATATCATTACATGACACATTTCACTCAAAGTGTAAGCAACATCCAATTTCAAATAGTTAACGAAGCAATTTACATTGATAAATACTTCTAACCAATCTCATATATCAAACAGCGATAAATCTAACTCGTCAAGATTCTAAGCTACAGAAATTTGCCGAAGGCTAAAATTTGTGTGTAAATGGATCAATCTGTAGAGTTTGATATTATACGTACCATCAGAGTGAAGATGACCGAAATCGTGGTGATCCCGATGATGCTAGCCCAATATGGCAGACCTATCACGGTCTTCAGAGCGACGCAAGGCGTGAATATCGTGACGGCCAAGTTCAGCAGGCTACGTATCACGTACGAGAAACTGGCGAGGCATCTCACTATCTTCGACTTGAACCTGCACAGATTAGCATAATTACAAAGTGCTGTGACTGGTCGCCGGACATAATCGTTAAACTCGGAGATGGTTTCAAGGTTCGTAATGCGATATCAACGAGGAAATTCATTTACTTCATTTCTTTTGCTTGGAAATTTATTTTCTGGTGATTTGTGATTCATGTTTTCTATGTGATAGGTTATGGTCAGTTTAGAGAAACTGTCTCGAGATTCTGAAGTTTTGAGGAATCTTTAATAATTTTCCAGCGTTTGTTTTTTAGAGAATCAAGATTTTGTCTAATAGGACTCATTATAAAATTTGTGAGTTTTAACAGTGTGACAGTGCACCAAAGCCATAAATTGTCATAATTAAAAAACTGTGGAATTTTATGTTCAGAAGTAGAGTCCCAAATAACTGAGGACACAAAATTCAAACAATTCAACGTTTTAACCTATTAGCGTCCTCATGGTTCAAAGTTGCAAATGCTCATAGATAAAGAATCCCAAAATTCCAAAGTCACAACAATCTCAAAACTTCAAATTCTAAAATCCAAAACTTCTAAAAACTTAACGTTCCCAAGCTCCACACGTTCCAACATATCAAAGTCCCAAATTCATGAGGACACAAAATTCAAACTATTCAAACTTGTAACATGTTAGCGTCCCCAAGTCCCAAAGTTGCAAATGCCCATCAGAAAAAAATCCCAAAATTATAAAATCCCAATATCTCTGAGCTCCAGAAAACTTAAAGTCCAAAATTACTAAAATCCCACATCTTCAAAGTACCAACGTCATCATCAAAACTTGTAAAATCCCAAATCTCCCAAATCCTAACGTCATCATCAAAGTCTCAAAGTCCCAAAATCTCAAAATTCTAAAGTCCAAAACTTGTAAAATCTCAAATCTCCCAAGTCCTGACATCCCCATCAAAGTCTCAAAGTCCCAAAATCCCAAAATTCTAAAGTCCAAAACATAAAATCTCAAATCTCCCAAATCCTAACATCCCCATTAAAGTCTCAAAGTCCCAAAATCCTAGAATTCTAAAGTCCAAAACATAAAATCCCAAATCTCCCAAGTCTTAACCTGTCCACCAAAGTCCCAAAGTCCTAAAGTCTCAAACTCCCAAAAATCGAACCAAGAAACCATCATAACTTCCCAAAACTTTACCTCATATCCAAGTACTGATAAACAGACGTGATGCCCAGGCTGTAATAAACAGGCACAAAGACGAAGCAAACGATGGGGTAGGCAAGCAGCATCCCATAGATGGTCTCCCACATAGCGCTGCCTCTATAGTACAGTTCCGAAGGGTACCCCAGAAAGGACCTAACTCCCAGAGTCCCTCTCGCGATGGACAGCATCATGGCGCCCATGGAGACGCTTCCCGTCGCGAACACATAGTCAGCCTTGGTGGTCTCCTTCCGGCGACCTCGGAACTTGCTCCACAGTGGTACGACGAAGGACGCTACGATGCAGCCGATGAAGACCAGGTAGTCCACCACCATGGACGACGCGTTGATCGTCATCCTGGGCTCTCTTGGGGTGCCGTTTCTTCCCTTAGCCTCGAATTCTTCGTGGTACCGGAAAAATCGAGGGTGTCGATGTTAAGTGGGTTGGGTAACTTGGATGGCGTCGTGTTTGAACGCGGTCGAAACGGTCGAGGTGGTTTGGTGTCTGGAGTTAGGCTCGAGGTAATTTGGTGTCTCGAGGTGGTTCGGTGTCTCGAGTTGTCTAGGTCTCGAGGTGGTTCGGTGTCTCGAGCTGTCTAGGTCGCGAACTATGTTCGAGTCGGTGTCGTTCGACGACGTCGCTTTTATACGAAACGTGCCGGCTCGTTGCGCAATGTCGCTATCGATGAGATGAGGCGCGATGCGATCGGTACGGCGTCGCGATGTGACTAACGCGGTCCGTGAACCACTTCGCGTTAATATCTGGACCCTAACAAAGACGGAACTAGCCGGACCGCGGGAGTGACGAGGATAGTTCGCAGACTATCTGTCCGGTGGAGGGGAGGGAAGGGACTAGAGATGCTACGGTGTCTTCCCTTATCTATCCGCTACTTGCACGATGTTTGCCAACGTTTTCCAATGCGATACTAATTGAGCGATTATGTAAATCAACCCGACCGATTGTTTTCCACGGAAACGATATTTCCCCGATTCTTCGCGAGCGACGGAACTGATCGTTTGCCGATCGCACGCCGCCGTTGCGATAGCGAATTGACGGGAACTCGAAGGCAGTCGCTAATCAGACTTTAATCTTGCGTGGAATGAACCCTTCGTGCTCCAGTTTGCTCGGATGTTTATCGATTTATGTCATTCTTTATTTCCAACTTTTTACCGTGGATGCATTTTACCTTCGAATTACTCGCGCGACTTTCCGTGGTGGGTTTAGTACTCGTTTAGTGCCGTTTATGGGGATGTAAGTTTTTATCGGTTCAGAAAAATTGGACATTTTATATTGCAAATTATGGGGGCGTTTAATGATGTAATTCTAACTTTATGTTTCTCTATGTTTCTGTCGTGTTTCTTGTCAATTTTTCACACCCTGTACACAGTATGTCGAAAAAGTAACTTTTTAAATTTAAGCAAAACCAGCGCCATCTATCAAAACATGTTATTTGAAAACAACCTCCCCTAAAATAAAAGACACTCAAACGTGATTCCTCGTATTTGAAGTAAGATTTGAAGAACAATTTACGTGAATAGTATTTGAAAGTCTGTTAACGTCATAGATTAAAAACACAGGTGTCACATGAAATGCATAATCACAATGCACATAAATGGCAGGAAGTGAAGCTTGAATTTACAACATCTAAGCCGCGTAAAATCTTTTTCTTATAAAAATTACACCGTAAAATCTTGAGGAAATATTTGCTCCCCGATAATTTACAACGACATGAAAATTTTATCAATTTTTCAGTCTCGTTTTTGCGCAGAACCCGAATTCCTGCAATTCCCTCCCAAAGGAGCGTATTAAATCGGTACAGATATGCATAACCGTAATAATCTGTCGCTTCGATAAGTCGGCCTCGCTGTCATAAATAACACAATAAACAGGAGCACGTGACGGGTCATATGATGCGTGCTGGTCGAAAGCACATTCGAGATAATCGCTTGGGCTGCAGACGAATCGAGAAGCACGATGGAGAGGGATACGAGACTTCCTTTCATCGAGTAACCAGCAATTTCTCTCAGAAACTCCGCGAACGTCTTTTGAAGCAGCCTCGAGTGCAACATTTGACCCTGAAACTTCGAGTCTCTTGGAAAAGACCGCTCCCGTTTTAATCGCTTAACCCAGAAGAGAAATCACAGGGAACATGGTTAGGTTGGTGTCAATTCGACGCCTATTCTAGGAACGGGTCTTAGACGTGTGAGTAGACGGCTTGTGGAAATTTCCTTGAAGAAAAAACAGAATTCAGACGGTGAATTGGGGAAAATACCGTGATGGGATGAGACGGTTGGAGATCGCAGTCTCTTTGGGCAACTGGTGGTGACGATGATGCAATGATACGTGGATGAATAGTAATTATTTTGTAAGAACATCTGCTACATGCTTTAGATAGAGGATATTGGGTTATTGGTACATGAATTTTTACATTTTTAAATTTCCCATTTCCCAATTTCCCAATTTCTCAATTTCTCAATTTCTCAATTTCTCAATTTCTCAATTTCTCAATTTCTCAATTTCTCAATTTCTCAATTTCTCAATTTCTCAATTTCTCAATTTCTCAATTTCTCAATTTCTCAATTTCTCAATTTCTCAATTTCTCAATTTCTCAATTTCTCAATTTCTCAATTTCTCAATTTCTCAATTTCTCAATTTCTCAATTTCTCAATTTCTCAATTTCTCAATTTCCCCAATTCCCAATTTCCCCAATTCCCAATTTCCCCAGTTCCCAATTTCCCCAGTTCCCAATTTCCCCAATTCCCAAAGTCCCCAATTCCCAAAGTCCCCAATTCCCAAAGTTCCCAATTCCCAATTTCCCCAATTCCCAATTTCCCCAATTCCCAATTTCCCCATTTCCCAATTTCCCAATTCCTCTAATTTCCAATTTCCCCAATTCCCAATTTTTCCAATTCCAAATCTCCCCAATTCGCAATTTCCCCAATTCCATATCTTCCCAATTCTCAATTTCTCCAATTCCAAATTTCCCTAATTCCCAATTGTCCTAATTTTCCACTTCATAATTTCCTCAAATTTCTAAAATCCTCAAATTTCTCAAATTCCCCTAATTTCACTAATTTTCTTGATTTTCCTAGTTCCCCTAATTTCCCAAATTTTTCAAATTTCTTAAACTCCTCGAGTCCCCTTAATTTTCCAAATTTTCCTAATTTTCTTAATTTCCCTAGTTTCCCTAATTTCCTAAATTTTTCAAATGTTTCAAATTTCCCAAACCCCTCAAATTCCCCTAATTCCTCCAATTTCCGTAATTTTCTTAATTTTACTAGTTTCCCTAATTTCCCAAATTTTTCAAATTTCCCAAACTGCTCTAATTCCTCTAATTTCCTTAATTTTCTTAGTTTCTCTAGTTTCCCTAATTTCCGGAATTTCCAAAATTTCCCAAATTTGATAAATTCCTTAAATTTCTCAAGTTTCCCAAATTCCCCTAATTTCCTTATCTTTCCAAATTTTTCACGTTACCCAAATTTCCCTAATTTCCCCAAATTTCCCTATTTCTCATCACCTCTATCCTCATTCCCTAATTTTCCATTTCCCCTATTTCCTTCCCTTCCCATCTCATAATATCCATACATCAAACCATACATCAAAATTACTCTAACACCCTTCCCACAAACACGTCACCCACCTATTTGCACGACTTCCAACAACATTATTCCCTCCAAAAATTCCAAAATAGCGACATCCTCGCACAGCGATTTAAATTTAAATAGCACCGTAGTCTCCTTTTCTTCCTCCAAGAAGAAAAAAAAAATGAAAGAAAATGCAGACTGATTCGCTGCAAAGCATCGTTTTGTTTCCCTCAAAGCTCCTCCCCAGTTCCCGTGTCAAACGTAAGAGGTTTTCGCGTCCCGTACAAAAGCACGGAGAAAAATTTTGCACGAGGGAGGCGTCGAACGATGGTAGGGGGTATAAAAACGCGGAGACAAATGTCTGTGAAGGAAGAATGCCACGAGCTCATTGTTTCAAAGTGCACGTCACAATGAGCTCTCGGGCGCGTTAGCGTTATCATGCTTGCCCTCGCTAAAACATCCCTCTTGAATCTTTAGACAACGTTCTCGTATGCATTTCGTACCGCGTATTGTTTTCGGCCGTGTTTAAGGTAACGTGTGGCGAGGTTAGAACAAGAGGATAAAAAGACGGAGCAACCCCGAAATCTTCCTTTATCTCTCCTTGCTTGCGAGCGGGGTTTTTAGCTGGCGTTAAAATATGAAGATGTACAATATTTAGGTATTTATTACAATTTTACTGGAATTCTTAATACGTTTCAATTTGGAGACCAAATCCTACTGTAAATTTATATAAATTTAATTATTGGGGTGCAAGGATTTGAAAATTTGAAAAATGCAAAATTTATAAATTTGTCGATATTGCAAATAGATAATAAAATTTAGGAATAAAAATGCTGAGGTAATAAATATTGCTCTTATCAAAACCGCTTTTAAGGTTGAGGGTCTACATATGCACACAGATGTAGATGTCGGGTCAAAAGCGGTTTAACCGACTGTGAAAACTGCGAAATGCTGGGAGAACCGGCTCTCGGAACTCTTGACCGATCAGACTTCATCGTTGGGCAAGTCGAGCGAAACACGCTTTTCCGCGATTATTTCGCGAGCTTCGCGGCGAATAACGTTCTTGGCGATCTTTGATCGCGGTTGGAGGAAATCGCAGAAATGCCTTGGTAGCCTGAAAAGCTTATCGAAACGTTTGAGAACTCGCGTTCCTTTGAAGATGGGAAATTAGCGAGTGATATGGTGTTCCAACTATTTAATCAAACATTGAAAGATAGATGAAACCTTTGGTGCTTGTTTGTAAGATCTGCTAAGTAATTAGAGATGGAATTATTTCTGTAACTGTCAGAGGGAGTCAATTATTGCAGTGTTGATTATTACGATGTTACAACGAGGAAATGAAATTGAAATGTTAGGTGTATTTCGAATTTAGGTATCACTGATTTGGGGACTTGAAAATTGAAAAATTGAAAAATTGAAAAATTGAAGAATTGAAGAATTGAAAAATTGAAAAATTGAAAAATTGAAAAATTGAAAAATTGAAAAATTGAAAAATTGAAAAATTGAAAAATTGAAAAATTGAAAAATTGAAAAATTGAAAAATTGAAAAATTGAAAAATTGAAAAATTGAAAAATTGAAAAATTGAAAAATTGAAGAATTGAAGAATTGAAGAATTGAAGAATTGAATGGTTGAAGAGTTGAAGAGTTGAAGAATTGAAGAATTGAAAAATGGAAGAGTTGAAAAATTGAAAAGTTGAAGAATTGAAAAATAGAAAATTTGAAAAATTGAAAAATCGAAAAATTGAAAAATGGAAAAATTGAAAAATCGAAAAATGGAAAAATTGAAAAATCGGTAAATTGAAAAATTGAATAAAT